TTTTTTTTTTGCTGGCAGTTTCCTCCAGATAAAAGAAAATTGTCGAACCTAGTTTTGTATGGAAAAACACGTGAAACACCTTTAACAAAAAAAAATCATTTTTAAGAGCTGTCTGCAAATGTTTTTTTTTATGTTGGCCGTTGTCTGGCGCTTGACCTGCACATATAAGAAGAAATTCCAAATAATCGGCGAAAAAAGGCCGATACCGATGCCGATGCTCAATTTTGTGCCGATACTAGCCGATGCCGATGCCGATGCCGATTAATCGGTCGGACTCTAGTTTGTATATGCAGAGTTGCGACCACAGACACATTTTTTTTCCTACCAAAATTTCCTACCATAACCAACCAAACCTACCAAACATTTTTTCCAGTTTTAATATTTTTTCAATGTCAATTTTATAAAAAACATAGCTAACATAACATTTAGTAAAACTAAAACACAGCTAGTACAATAAAAAATACAATAAAAAATAGCTGCGTATAGCGATTCATTTTACTGTACATACATACATATCATCATTAGATACGAATAAAAACGCGAGCTCAAAAGTTGAGAGCGAAAAAAGACGCGTAAAAAAATTTCGGCGAAGAAGAACTCTTAACATTGGCGAGGGCAAAGAAGGATGCGTTACCCTCTTTGACGCGGAAGAAAGACGAAGAATACTTATTTTTGCGGTCAATTATGTTTACAAGTATACGAATTCTCCAAATAGTTTTTCCGGAATAATGTTGAATCCATGTTAACACGTCTTTTTTGGCAAATTTTTTTCACGCATCCTTGACTATATTATTAATATTACTTCGGAGATACCTGCGTTGCGAGCCAAGAAGATATAATGTGCTACATCCTAATTGTAATCGCTCCAATATTATGGGCTGTTTGGTGGTGTGCCCAGAACGGCATTCACCGGTCTAGAGTCTACATAACTCAAGACTGACTCCCTGTGAATGCCGTTCAGGGCCAGTCGGTAAGCTGACGGCTCCAGAGGCTGCTTGACGAACCTCTGGACTTCTTCCGTCAGTTCATATAGATGCCTCCTGACGTACCTAGGCGAGGGCTCCTCTACAAGCAGCTGTCTCTTCGGGTGGCCACTTCTGTGGCTCCCGATCAGTTTTTAAGTACGCGGCCGTGGTTTAAGCTTGATTTAAATGCCCGATCCGGCTGGTTTAAACTAAGATCAGCCAATCAAATATCAGCAGCTGTCCAATTTAAACTCAATCTACTTACTCTGGCATTCAGTAAGCGGTTTCTAGTCACTAATAGTGACTTTTGGTGGTGAACTTGGATTTTGAGACTATGTGGTATTCAGTACGCTTTCTCACGTCTCTAGTCTCAAAAATAAGTCACTAATTTGTCAGCTGGCTAAGAACAGGTCAAAAAAATAAAAATATGGAGGAAAAGATAATTTCTTTCCAAT